TGCTTTTACTTGCCTGTGAAAACATTCCTGCCCTTAGGCGAAGTGTATCTATCGTTTATTTAAACAATTTATTTATTAACATCTTATTTCTAATTATTAATTATTCCTGTATTCACAATTCATAAATTCATACCCAAAAATATATTCTCCATTTGAATCCTGTATAGTGAAATAATAAATTTAACGTTTAACGCGTTGAATTCTACGTAAAATCTCATTTTAAAAAATTATACCTTTGGTGGGTACCCAAATTTACTATCTTCTGATTGATCTGAAGTTAAGAGTCTCATTTTTCCTGTGTTACCAGTGTCACGAATTAAGGCAGCTTGTTCCTTAGTTACACCATAGATATGAGACGCGTCGACAAAAGGTGTACCAATATTAATTCCAACATTTCCAGGCGCTTGAGAGCGATTGAATGCTAAATATGGCTAATTAATACAGTAAAAAAAATCACAAGTATTTGGATCACATGTCATATTGATTGCTCAACCTTTAGTTATAATTAGAAAACTAGTAGTAAGGACAATAACTTACTTGGTTCATTGTAACATTTGGACCAATTATATTATTAGATAGATAGGTTCTATCATCTGTAGGAATATAGATCCCCTGCGGAAAGGATTGACCTGTATCTGGACCAACACTAACCTAATTAGCAATTAAAAGGTTTAATAGTTTTTAATTAATACATTAAATGATAATAAATTGATTTATTCATTTTATTCATTAAATGGCGAAATAGAAATAATAAATTGAAAACTGATATACAGTACATACATCCATCTTGATGAACAGCCCCCTTCAAATACCAATTATGGTTAATGTGAATTGAATTATATAATTCAATACGTAATAGTTATTTCACGTTTTATCATAGATATCATTAAATATCACGGATCAATCAAGATATTATTCAGTATTGCAATGATGAATGATATCGAGATTGATTCGGGATTTTAATGATATCGACGACAAATACGTGTAATAATTAATACTAATTAGTGTACTCACCAATAAGTCAGCTTTATAATATTTTTATTTAGGCGTATTAGATCAGATATTATTGTTATTATCATTGTTATTGATTATCTATTCTATGACGGCATAAAGGAATTTACGTGTTATTAATCGCAAATTTTAACATCTTGGTAGTTATTTTCACAAAAGTTTATATTTCTTATTAGTTATTTCATGAACACTAAAGAAACACTAAAGAAACACTAAAGAAACACTAAAGAAACACTAAAGAAACACTAAAGAAACACTAAAGAATATTAAGGAATATTAAGGAGTAATAACACGAATTCCCGTTATGTTGTGTCGGGGTCGAGAGTAGTACATATAATTGATTGATCTTACCACATGAGAGATACTTCTTTTTGATTTAAATTGTTGTAAGTGCGTCAAATTAAAAGCATCATTCGGTTGTAATCGATACGAATGAAGAATATTACTGACGCATCTAGGTAAAGGAAGGACACCAGGTGGTAACCTATCAGTACAACTTGCAGCCGTTGCAAGAGTAGTATAATTTCCTGGAGTGGGTACCATAGTTCCGGTATCATCTTGAAAGAAGCCCAGAGGTACTTGTTGTCGTACAAATGGCATATTTATCACACCCAAATTAGCTTTATCATTATTAGTTCCATTTAATGTTCGATATTCACTTAAGACTACATTCTCAAAGACAAAAATGTAAATTAGAAACGTTAATGCACTAAGGTTCATTTTGTATGCGGCCATATTCACGTATCTGAATTAAAAGATGATGCGAACTGAAAATATGCGCGAACATATTCATATTTATATGTATACTCTAAACTATATGTACATATGTACGTATGCAAGTACGTATGCAAGGTATGTAAATATCAAATATCTATACAGTATACCGAAATATATCATCATGCATACACTATTGAGCTACTAATTATGGGAATATTAGCCTCATTTAGACATGTACAGAGTGCCACAAATGCTTATAAATAAATTTATACGGACAAATTCTATTAATAAATATAAAAATTGTATCAACAATGGTGGCTAAATCAAATCTTCTGTCTGTGTTACATATAATCTAAGTTGTTGATAAATGGTACAATTGGATATTCTTATGCTTGTATGTGATCCCGTTTTTATTTTTCTCTGTACTATTTACTATTAATATTGCGTATGACAAAATCCATTCGATCAAATACGTGCATATCAAATATATATTAATATGTAAGTACGTATCTAAAGCTAACCCCTTTTTGAAACTTTATCTTAGTTACACGAAAACAATACAATATGCTAGAAAAATCAAGTAAGTACGTACGTACGTACTTACTGTTAATGTCTACAAAAATATTCGCTTCTCTACGCTGATCCGCGATAATCTCTTCAGTTTAATTGGCTAATAAACTAAACGCAAATTCACTCTATACGTAATAGAGTCTTAACTATGCTCCTGGGATTAATATATATCGCGAATGAGAACATCACATCAACCCTTTCCCAATTGGTTGTTTCTCTAAGCAGGAATCAAAGAAGAGTACAACTATTGTCATTTTTGATGTTTCAGACATTTCAAGCATTTCAGGAATTAAAGAAGGGTACAATTATTATATTGTTATTTTTTATGTTTTTTTTATTGTCATCTTTGATGTTCAGGAATTAAAGATGAGTACAATTATTATGGTGTCATTTTTTTTTTTATGTAGCCAAATACAGTGCGTAGTATTATACAACAGAATGCGGATTAATTTTTTGAATAAATTTAACTAGTTTGAACAGATTTAGCCTGTTTAAACAGATTTCCATATGAAAATAAATCCTGACCATATTGATTTTAACTCCATGTCGGGATTTTCTCCGAAATTTATATTATTGAGTGTGAGAACTTACCTTTATTATTATAGCAGTAGTTACTTTGGTAATGACTTAATAAAATTAAGCAATTAATTATACACGCGCTAACGCTAAGTGATATATGTATTGAAAGATTAAAATCAGGAAATAAAAAAAATGCATGCACCGTGCATGCTGTATGAGCAGTTTCCCATCATATAGTTATTATAAGTCATAAATAGTCAGTATTGACATGCATAACAATCTAAACACTACTTAAATTTACGTGTTATTTTTAAATTAAAATTTTGATTAACAATTAAAATGTATACATATTATATAGTTCTTTTTAAAAAGGTGTAACCTTAATTTTCGTGATATTATAATAAGAATTTCTAAAATTCTAAATTGCCTATCTTCATACGTATTTTTAAACATCAAATCTGCAAGAATCTGCAATTTCATAATTTCATATCATGATCTGCAGAGGTCACACCAGGACCCGAGCAATTCAGAAGATACTAAAAAGGCAATTTTAAAAGAAATCCATTAAAAAGATTCCATGTTTATATAGTAAAATTTTCGGAATTTTGGTCAAAAATAAGCATTTCGGGTAAATTTGGCATAAAAATAAACAAACTTAGTTCTGACCTATCAATGTATAGCTCAAAGTCCTGTAACACCTTTTGAAAACTGCCATAATGATAATTACTAAAGTTTTACCGTGTTCGGAAATCTGCGGTGCAAATCTACCTAGAGTTCTGCTTTTGGCTCATTTATGTCTGCTCGAGCAGAAAAGCAAATAACCGACTTAAATTGAATTCATAAAATTTTATTCACTCAGTATATTGTGCAAATAAAATAACATTAAACGGTAAATGTTTTTAAATAGCTTATTTTAATAACAATTAATAAATGTTCTCTATACATAAATACTTTATTATTGAGAATAAAATTAATAAATTAATTAAAATTAAATAATATATTGCAGCGAATAAAATAACATTAAAATTAAATAATATATCGTTGAGAATAAAATAAGGTAAATGTTCATTGTTTTAAATAGCTTATTTTAAATGACAATTAATAAATGCTCTTTATACATAAATATTTATTATTGAGAATAAAATTAATAAATTAAAATTAAATAATAAATATTCATAGATTTCAATAACTTATTTAAATACCAGGTTAAACTTATGTATTTTTTGTGCTCGGCTAAATTATCATTAATAAAATAATTTCCGGAGCAGAACTTAAGGTCAGACAATGGGTGAAAAAAAATTCCGGGTGGTTCCGGGTGTATGATAAGAGAATAAGCAAAACAATTCCCAATCATTCAATTGATCAGTATTGAAATTGTCAATTATATAGTAGTATATGACATATCACACTTTAAATTTAACTTTATTTACTGTTACTTAGAAGTATATGACATATCGCACTTTAAATTTAACTTTATTCACCGTTACTCCGTTACTTAGAAGTATATGACATATCGCACTTTAAATTTAACTTTTATATTCTAATCGTTCATAATAAAAATAAATTCGCGATAGTGGTTTAATTATAGAAATAAATACCATATGAGTTTAATACAGTAATAAATCGAATTTTTGAGCACTTTACCTTTGAGAGATTTCAGCGTATTAAAAAAGGCTCACGGATACTTGAAGAAAAGTGACTTATAGATATAAGCACGATTTTTAATTGATTTCGCATTTAACATGGACATTTAAATTTAATTATTTGTTCTCAGAATCCAAATGAATATTTTTTTAAATTAAACTGAATTAAAATGTTTTATGTATTGTTTATAACATCTTATAAGCTGAGAACTACTTAAATTTTTGTAATCTAATAAGCGTAAGTGAGAAAAATTTTTTTATGTAAATTACATAATTACATCATCTTAACCTAATTCATATGCTAAAATGGTCAAAGTGCATCTAAGATCCGATTTTACAGAGTTAAAGCTCTTTAGCTTTAATTGGACAGATATATAAAGATTAGTATATAATTATTATTCGACATTTCATATGATCATGTGAATTTTTTTGCCATGATATTTTTTACATGAAATTACGTAATCAGTT